CTATTAGGTATATATACATGTAGCAGGAATGATTGAGGAAAATAGGGATGATGACTTGTTCCACTCAATTTCTATTTAAAGGCAGCACAGTGGCACAACTTGTAGAGTTGCTGCTTCTCAGCGAGCAGGTCCTTGGTTCAAATCCCGGTCCAGGGGCCTTTCTGGGTGGAGTTTGCATGTTCTCTCGGTGCATGTGTGGGGTTTCTCCAGGAACTCCTGTTTCCTCACACAGACCAAAAACATGCATGTTAGGCTGATTGGTGACTCTAAATTGTCCATAGGTGTGAGTGAGAGAGTGAATGGTTGTTTGTCTCGTTTGTCTCTAGGTGTCCCTGTGATGAACTTGCGACCCGTCCAGGGTGTACCCGTCCCTCGCACAGTGATTGCTGGACATGGGCACCAGCGACCTCCGTGACCAAAAATAGAAGAAGCCGGTAAAAGATAATGGATGGGTTGATGCTTTTAAATTTAATTACAACATTATCAGTCAAAATAAGAATCATCATGAACAATAAATAAAACTGAGCAACACAAATGATAAAGGAAACTAATTTGTTGAAAAAGAACTAGTTTAAAATTGTGGTAAAGTCATTTATCATTAATGAACAATCAAAATGATAATGAATCAGCCAAGGATTATTTCTCTTTTATCTAAGGCAAAATTAATTATTTGAGCAGGAATTATTTTGGCTTTTATACATGCAATGTAGACAAAGTTTAACTATTTGATGAACATCCTGATGCATGCTCAATAATCCAGGTAGAAAAATCTAACAATGTTAAGTCAGGTCCTCTGGACTTCTTCAGGAAGAAGAAGTCTTTTGAATGAAAGACGAAATATTTCAACAAGTATTTTATTTGTAATTTTTGAATCTGTCCAGAAGACCTGACTTGATTTTGTTAGATATTTGATGAACAGTTTACTTTAGAATATTGTTGAGAGATTTTATTTCATGTGGTCATTTGTTTTCACTGCAAGTCAGGAAAGGATTTATCAAGTTGCATTGATGTCACCAGGTCTCAGCTCCCTACCAAGTCATTGTTGAGGGCTCGAGTTCACTCATCTTTCCAGGGTTTTGCCAGATGATCAGACCAGCATACACCACGATGAGAGGACTATGCAGGCCAGGCCCTGCCTAAGGTAGATGAAAGTCCATGTGACTGCTTCAGGGCATGGTGAGGAGGCAGAAGGTGTGCCATCAACCGGCAACCCGCTTCAGCCAGCTTACACTGAAAGCCTGGAACTCTGCTTCTAACAAAAAAAAAGTGTTATTGAGCAAACTTGTTTTCTTTGCTCAGGAATAGTAAAGATTACGGACAACACAAAAGCACATCAGGATGGAGAAAATGAAGACAGAACTGGACATGTTGCATAAAAGTGCACCTTTTGTGTTAATAATTCCAAGGACAGTGGTGGCATTTCCAGACTGTTTTGACTACCAACTGATGTTTGAGGATCATTTCTGCCCCAGAACTCTACACAGAGTGATGGTGTATCAAACTTGAGTTCTTTCTGAAAGCCAAGCAGAGCAAACATGTTAAACATGACATTTCACATGATTTCATAAAGATAATTGAAAATAATAATCATTAATGTTTTAAACATCTCATAATCAAGTAAAACAAACTTTGTTCATGAATACATTTTTCTTTATCGAAAGCTAAAAATAAGTGTGTAAGCATTTATCAAACTGCAACTGAATAAGTGTCCAGGACAGTGAATGTGTGAATATATCAGACATCTTTTAGGTCGTAAGTAACTGTGAAGGAAGCCAGTTCAGGGTAATTATGAAAGATGACTTCAGGGTCAGAGGTCATGGTTGGGAGAGCACATCTTCATGCATCATTCCCCACTAGGAAGTCGATGCTCATCCAGATGGCCATCGAGTCAGTACAAATTAAATCCAAGCGCTGTTGAAGGAAACCAGTGGTGTCAGCATTGACACCCAAGTAACCATGGCAGACTTAGTCTTGAAGAACAGCATGGTGAGGTTACCCCTCTTTAGTCAATGAAGACAAAGGAATTAATGGATAATCCAAAGAGAATGCTTAGTCCTTGAAGATGTTCCAATCAGTCATAGTGCTGTGTCATTCTTAGAAGCACAAAGTGGAAAACAACAACAATCCAGTAGTTAGAGCAATAGATCCAATGTGGAAACAATCGATCCAAAGCGAAACCAAACAAAGATCCTGTCAGCAAAGCAAACATGTAGTTGACACCTTAACATTCCAGGCAGTTGTCATGATGAAGGTATCCAGGCATTAGGTGCCACCAGTTGGCATAGCGGACTGATGATGGCAGAATATTCCCAGTGAATACTTACAGAACCAAGATGGAGGTAGTCCTGATGTCATCAGAAAGGATACCAAGGGTTGGATCAGCAGGAGGCGTGGAAGGTCCAGATGTCACCATGGAGGTCAGACACCCAGATGGTAGGCAGCTGTATTGTAAATTAGACTGGTTATTATTGATGCATCTCATAATTTCTTTTTATAGTGAAAGTAGAAAATGAAGAGGACAGAGCCTACAATAAAACTTTAAATAGATTTAATAAATAATTTACTTCAATGAATATTTCCTTTGACAAAAATGTACTTTATCAAAAATGTAACAACAAAGTTAATCTATAGAATTTTACATTTGACTACTCATTGTGATTACAATACATATTCAAAAGTATTTAAGATCAAAAATGAATCGAATGCCATAAAATGGAGAGATTCTTCATTGGTGGAATCACTGTTATCATTACACGCTTTTTGGGAAGAATCTACAAAAGAAGTTGGGTTGTAAGCGCAATCATCCAGGTAGATAACAACAAAAACGGTTAAATTGTGTCATCTGGACCAGTTTCTTTAAGTGAGAAATGTTTTGTCACCCATCCAGAGGACATCCTCAGTCTACGGTCTGCCAACCAGATCTGCCCCATAAATCGCCTTCAATGTGTTTCAAGACAACCTCCTGTTGAAATCTCAAAAAAGGCTTTTAAGACGTACAAACAGAGCACATCCATCCAAAACAATCAATCATCATGAACAGCAATCAAATGTTTTAGGCCAGATGACCAACGTGCTACCCACAGAAACGGCCTGAGGACAATCAAGGCCAAAGTGGTTCAGAAGAAGGTTTGTAACCTCAATCATTCAGGTAGATAACAACAAAAAAAGTCTATAATATGTCATCTGAACCAGTTTCTTTAGGCTTCCTATGGGACAGATCTGGTTGGCAGGACACAGACCGACAAAGTCCCTTGGATGGGGGATGAAACGTTTCTCACTTAAAAATAACTGGTATAGCAGCAGGAATCCAAATAATATATGGATGCAGTTAGGGAGGACAGAGGACCCAAAAGACAGAATGAGATGGAGGAGGATAACCTGCTGTGGAGACACCTGAAGAGGGAAGAGCCAGGGCTGGCCCAAGGCATAAGCAAACTAAGCAGCTGCTTAGGGCCCTGGGGCCACTAGGGGGCCCCCTA